ATATTTTGATGAGATGTATGTTGTCTTTCCTCTAGTGGTGTTATGTGAACGTCGACTACATGAAACTTCACCATTATTTGGGCCTAGAGGAAGGCATTGGGAAGTAATAAGTAGACGATGGGTTGCTAGAGTGACAGAAGCTTAAACCCTAGTTTATGCGCTGCTTCGTAAGGGGCTGATTTGGATCCATATTTTTAATGATGTGGTTAGGTTTACCTTAATACTTCTTTTGTAGTTGCGGATGCTTGCAATAGGGGTTAATCATAAGTGGGATGCTTGTCCAAGTAAGGGCAGTACCCAAGCACCGGTCCACCCACATATCAAATTATCAAAGTACCGAACGCGAATCTTATGAGCGTGATGAAACTAGCTTGACGATAATTCCCATGTGTCCTCGGGAGTGTTTTTCTCATTATAAGAAATTATCCAGGCTTGTCCTTTGCTACAAAAAGGATTGGGCCACCTTGCTGCACCTTATTTACTTTTATTGCTTATTACTCGTTACAATTTATCTTATCACAAAACTATCTATTACCTAACATTTCAGTGCTTGTAGAGAAAACCTTACAAAAACCGCTTATCATTTCCTTCTGCTCCTCGTTGGGTTCGACACTCTTACTTATCGAAAGGACTACGATAGATCCCCTACACTTATGGGTCGTCATAAGTGTTGGTGAAGTTGCAAACGAAGACTTCAGTGAAGTCCACCCAGCTATTGACGCTATAGGGCTTGAGGTTGTTCAGCCAAGTGCGCGTTGTGCCCTGGAGCATGAGGGGGACGTACTTCACGGCAACACGCTTGTTGCCGTTTGCTATGTTGACCGCGGTGGTGTAGTCGACCAACCAGTCTTCCGGCTTCACGGAGTCGTTGTACTTGGGCGTATCTCTTGGGAGCGAGAACCCCTTGGGGAAGGGCTCGTCCTGGATGCGGGGGCCAAAACAAGGCGGATCAATCGCATCTTCTTCTTCTAGTGCCAGGGATCATGCCAGGCGGTCGATCCAATGGCGGGCATCGTTTTCTCTGACTCCTTCGCGGCGGCCCACCAGGCCACTGAGCGTCGGGTGCTCAACAGGCGGCGGGGAGGCATACCTCTCCCTGCACGGTGGAGGGGGAGGCGGACAGTCGTCCCTCCGTTCCACAGCTCGTGGGCGGCCATCTTGGTTGCGCTCAATGGAGAAGCCTGTCCGACTGCGGCTAGCCGCCGGCTCACTGTCTCATCGGCCGCGGGCGTCGCCTGCAGTCGGTGTCCGGGTGGTCGCACCATGCTCTTTGTGGAGGGAGGATTCTCGGTACATGCACCGGCTTCTTGCTGCACGGCAGCCGCGTCGATGAGCTGTTGGACGTGCTTCGTCACGCAGCGACGCTCGTCACCGTCCAGGCCTTCTAGCTCGTCTGCTACCGCCTAGGCAGCACGCAGGTTCTCGATGGGAGTGGCGTAGATCGGGCGGTCGGCCCCCAACATGCTGGCGATGGTCGCGCCGCATTGCTTGACAACACCCACTTGGCTAGGCCCGCCAGCAGCCAGCGTGCCACAGACGGCACGATCGACCTCGCGCTGGTAGGCCTCTATGAGACGTCTCATGGTGGCTAGCTTCTTGCCGCTCTTCATGAGCGCAAGGCGGTGGGCTTCTAGCGTCTCGGCGTCGGCGTCGCCTACGATGGGTGTGGACAGGTCTCGCATCGTCGCCTGCAACGGGTCCGGGGCGTCCGCGCCGGACGCTCCATCATGGCTGATGACGAGCACCTTAGTGACGGTGCTGCCGCCGCTGTCGTCATGAGGGAGCGGGTCATCGATGACCACCACGTTGGTGGGGAAGGCGTCGAGGGATGCCGTGTCGGAGTCGACAAGCATCGGGTCGGTGGAGCCGATCGACTCCAAGTTGGAGGTGGGCTCGCTGGCGATGTGAAGGTTGCCAAGGAGGTCGATGAGGCAGCACTCGGAGCTGGCTGCATCCACGCCTTGCGCGGGCTCGTCGGAGAGGCAGATCTCACCGATGAGATCAGCGAGGCAGCTCGCCGCGCACGGCTTCCACGCCATGCAGCGTGTCGGCACAAACGCCAATGTGCGTGTCGGGCTGCCTGCGCTCGCCAGGAAGGAACAGGGTTCCCGTCCAAAGCAGGTCTTCGCACGACGGTGCACCTAGCCCCACGGTGGGCACCAAATGTCGGGTGGTTGGTGCGACATATGCCAAAGGATGGCTAATCATTGGGGGAGCTAGTAAGACGTCGCCGGTGCCTGGAAACGGGATAAGGCGTAAACATGCACGCTTGACGCATCTTACCCAGGTTCGGGGCTCTCCTAGGAGATAACACCCCTAGTCCTGCTCTGCGGGGTCTCCGCATGATCACTCAATCAACAAGGGCCACAAGCTTGCTCCTTGAGCTATTCGGCTAGAGGAGGAAGAAGGGCAAGGCTAGCTCGACCCCTCTCTCTACGTGGATGTGTGGTGGTCTAAGAGGCTAAACCCTTTGCATGGGTGCCCTGGAGGGTTTATATAGGCCTACCCCCCAGGGGTATAATGGTAATCCAGCTGGGCTAGGCCCAAGCCATCAGTGTCTGCGGCCGCCGGCTTCTCCGCCGGCCGCTGGGGCCCACCACCTGGTGGGTCCCGCCAGCTACCAGGCTCTCGGCTGACAGGTTGGGCCCACCGCCTGTGGGCCCTGTCGGCTGCTCATTACTATAGCCTTGCCCCTGATGACGATGGCTTGGTCGGGGAGAGCGTGGCTATAGTGCTGCCGCCTTGTGGGCGTTCATTGTTGCCACACCCCATCTTATCTGGTTAATGGCGCACAAACTTGTAGGGAAGGGGAGGGCCGGCTCCGGCAGCCGGCCCTCCCCCTGCGTCGACTGGTCTGGGCATGCCGCCTTCTGGTATCTCACTGATAAGTAGGGCCCGCTGCCTACGGACCGTACCGACAGCTCGTCGTGGGAGTATGGCAGCTCTGCCTAGGATGATGTCATGGTCAGCGTGGCAACAGTGCCGCGCCGGGCTAGGGATGGTCGCCCGGTATGTTGCACTGTGGCCGCGCCCATTTCGGGATTCAGGGGTGGCAGGCTGCACTGTAGCCATGCCCCGTCTCATCACCGTTATGTGGGTGCAAACTTTGAGGGCGCAAGGGTGGGCCGCCTGCTAGGAGTCGACCACTCTGGTGGCCGCCTACTAGGAGTCGGCCCACACTGGGGCCGCTCTTTGGGCCTTGTCGCCTTCCTGCAGCCGGCCGCTTGGACCAGCCGGCCACAAGAAGGCGGCCCTTTGTCTTGAGTGCTTGAGGGGCGCAACCGGCCCCGATGTGTTGAAACGCCATGGGGAGCAGATAAGGCTACCCGTGGTCATTTACTCCGACAATGCCCGGGCTTCAAGTTGGTTTTACAGAGGGGTGGAGGCAACCATCTATGAAGGTTTCTTTCCTCGTGCTAGACCCGCCTGTGTTGCCAACCACTTCTAGGAGTGAAGTCATCGCTGATGTTGTGGCTCCAATACTACCGATTATACCTGAGCTGCAAAAGCTATATAGGGAGCCCATTTGCCTTTATCGATGGTGCTTCCAAGTGAGATGGGCTCGCTAGGGGCCTCTGCGGTGCCCACGTCACCCTCACCACCACCGTTGGAGCCCAGACGGTCACTCACCTTTGTGGACCATGGTGGTTTAGATGTAGTTCTCACTCACTCGTCTATGACCATTTGGCAGGCGGTGTTTGTGTGTGACAAGATTATCGAGGTAGGTGAGTTGGCACAAAATTCTGAGGATCTATTCACGAAAGAGCTTTGTGACTTGTTCATCCGGCTTTAAAGGTGGCAGGTCTTGTAGGAGTATTTGTCAAGTCGATTGCTTGCCTACTGACGAGAAAGGGGGCAAAATCAAGAAGGTTGAGGTCTTTCAGGAGCCAGAAGTGTGGCGTCATTGTGTAGGCGTTTGTGGTTGTTTAATGGATAGTCCTCAGCTTCTTTGCTTAATGGGTAGTCCTCGGTTTCTTGGATCATCCCTATGGTTTGGCTTGTCATTGTGAATTTAATGATGTCCGTTCTCTTCAACCAAGGTACCCTTGTTGGGGTTTACTTTAAGATGTACTCCCTCCGTTTATAAATATAAGCCCGGCTGCATACGAATGTATATAGATAAATTTTAAACGTAGATTCACTCATTTTGCTTTGTATGTAATACGTATTGGAATCTTTTTAGGCTTATATATTTAAAAACGGAAGGAGTACAAGTGTGGAGGCTTGTGGTCGATAGTTGCGGGTTGAGAATGTTCCCTTTCAGTCATGGGGCTTTATACTTTATGAGTAGTCCGCGTGTGATCTACTTCCTCCATCACATAATATAAATAATATAAGACGCTTTTTGAGACTATACTAGTGTTAAAAAATGTCTTACATTATGGGACTATACTAGTGTCAAAAAACGTGTCAAAAAACGTCTTACATTATGAGATGGAGGGAGTACTTGTGAGAGTTCTCATCCAGCTTTCCATCAATTAACCGGGCAACTATCTTTTGCTTAATCAGAGACGAATCTTTTGCCTCTATTGAAGGAAAACAAATTGGCTTGACTCGGCCTGTTTACCTGGGGATCTGATTTAAGTACGCCAACATATCGCAAAATAGAAATTTAAATGCAGGGACAACCAGGCCACGCATAACTACTTTCTTTTGATGCTCATCCAGAAAAGTGTAGCCGGCTCACATAGTTGTGGTCACACGCACTGATCTGAGGTATCTACAGCTTGCCGCTGGAGATCTCTACAAATTATATCTGTACCATCCCTTCCAGTTTTTACAGAAAACATCTTCACATTATTGCATCAGTTTAAGGGCACATGATAAATACATCTGGGGAGCTTCCGGAGACCCTTGGCAGGCCCAACTGCATAGTCTCACAAGAGGGTTGCTGGGCAGGGGGAAGCACCACTCGTGCGTCGTCGCACGTGCTCCAAGATGTAGAGATGTCCCAAAATTCATTGCTTCTTGTGTTGCCACTCACATCCAAGTTTCTTTTTTTACTTCACGACACTTCCTGTGAAGAATACACGGGTATGTTGCTGTAAAAGAAATGCATAACTGAAGTGTACACTTGTTACAGATAATATCGGTAAAACTCACCGTTGGATCTACCATCAGGAAAACTGCCGGCAACATGCTCGAAATAATCTCTCCTTGCATCTGCATTGAAAAAAGAACAGAATAAGGAATAAAAATGTATGCACGAGGAACGAGCGCCGATGGTTCTACCGGCTGGCACCACGGACAGGGATTGAATCTTTACACTGCTACATCATTTGGCTGGCTAGTTACTCCTGGCCACCCATTCATTGAACTCATTTGAAAATACAAGCAACAACTATGCACACACTTACCATGCTTCATAGTTAACGAAGGATCTTCTTTCTCTGTATAGCCAACTACCTTCGCAGGATTTCCTACCGCCATACTTTTAAACACAAAACAAAGTGTCAAAACAATGATCAACATAAAGCAGATAATAATCACGGTGCAAGACTACTTATGAAAGACATAGGGAAAGGAAAACTTAACAAACAATAACAATGGAGGCAAATGTTAAGAAACTAAATGTTCACAAAACAGACTGAGCCATCATTAGTATATCTAGACGTGTACTGGGTCGCAGGCTTTAAGCTTCAGCCTATGCATTAAAAAAATAATGCATATATTCCTTCCTACTTTAAAACCACTAGTGAACTTCTTTAACTCAGAGAATATTATAGACCCTTGTCAGGCCCACCAGGCTACAAGTGAATATATTCAAGTTGGAAAGGGAATAAAATCGACTATTTACTAATGATAAGCATAATTAGACCTCGTTATCCTACTTGAAGGGAAACCGGATGACCATGAAAAAACAGTATCCTAAAGGGCGCTCCTTTAAAAACTACAAATACTTATAATGCCGCATTTGTTGGAAATATTCAAGGTGTAGCATTCAGTAGCTCAATTAGTAAAGCAAATGCAGTATTCTACACTAAGCAACAGTATTCAGATCATGTATTCTTCTTGTTTGCTGTCTTTCTAAAGAAATTGCATTGCAAGAACGAAAATATATATCATATCTACTGATGCTCATTACTAACAAAATTTGGCATTGCAGCATCATTATTTAAGAATTTAATTAAGTAACTTCTTTCTAACCTGTGAGGCGGTACATGCTTTAAAACAAGGGAACCAGCGGCAATCATGGCACCTTCGCCAACAGTTATGTTGCCAAGGATAGTAGCACCAGCTCCAAGAAGAGCACCCTGACCGATCTTGGGGTGTCTATCTCCGTGTTCCTTTCCAGTACCTCCAAGCGTAACACCCTGTAGCAAAGGCCTACCTGGTAAGCTGGTGAACAATTAGGAACCTTCTATAATTAAATTTTGACCAAACAGGAAACATCACGGGAACACACATAGGAACGCCATACTTAGGGTATATATTTAGTTCAAACCAAGGGAGGACTACATTCGTCATAATAGATTTTACAAAACTGAAAATAAGCATGAATGGTAAGAAAGCGTGAAACAAGCACCCCTTATGTTTTGCTACCTTCTCTTATATTATCTCATACAGCAAAAATTGAAATATTTCGTCAAGTCTAGCGTTTGGTTCCGCTTGGGTATCAATTCTCCTGAATATGTGTTTGTTTGGTCTGGGGCGCGAACGAATACGGAACAGAGGGGGTTCCGTATGTGGTCGGGATCGGACGTTTTTGGGGATGTGAAGTGTTGTATACGATAGCATCGTAACAAAAACAGAATGGCTGAACAAAACGGCTGCTACTGTTTCCTGAAGCATTGCAATCGAAGTGGGATTTTTCAGCCCAACGAAACACATCGTAAGATATTCACCTGATGTGAATTGAATGATTCATAGTTGTACAAAAACAAAATATTCAACAAAAGAATTGAAAATGATGTGCGTGTAGATATTTCGTTACCTGAATCATATTATCCATTTATTTAGTATAATAAAAGCAAATGAAAGAAATATTCAATTATTTGCACAAGGACAATTTAAAACTATAGCAAACAAGATATGTGACAGAGCTAACAGCCAGGCAAGAAGAAAAAGAAGTTAAATTGTGGATGGAATTCAAAATTATATTGAAAAGTAATGATTCATGTTAAAATCAGAAATAGCAAGAACAGGGTGATGCATGTCACCTGCATTAATGAAACCCAGTTGCCAACAACAGCAGTTTCACCAATGACTAGACCTGTTCCATGATCCAACAATATTCCTTCTCCAATTTTGGCAGCTGCAGATTTAGCATTAAAGAATGTTAAGAGAACAGACTAAAATGCCATATCATACCACGATATAACAAAGACACCACTTAAGATGACAGTTTTACTTTTCAAAACTCAAAAGCAAAACCTGTATTAATTTTCAGGGGAGACAGGCCCCAGCCCCCAAATATCATCCGAGCATGAGGATATATTTAAGGATTTGATGCTTATAAATTCATAAATTGATAAATAATTGCAGACTCATACATAAGCAAGCTTTAGAAAATGATTAAAACATGAGCAATGCTTCTATGCTCCCAAAAAATGAACACAATTACAAAGACAAACCTTGGTTCAGGTTAAGATATTTACTAGGATAACATAACATACATACATATTCCCAAGCAACAGACACCATATGCACTAGTAAAGGCAACAAAACGCATTTCCGCGAAGGTAATAGAAGAAGGTAAACATGAAGTAGCTATTTTTTGAGTGGAAAAGCCAAACATCATATAGCTAAAGAGCAACCCCATTATTAAACACATCAGCAGGAAACATAAGACAATTTCGTACAGATATATGATACACCAATGATATACCTGGGTGTATATCCACTGCAAAAACCTGAAAAGAGAAGGATAGCACATGTTACTCCAACATAAATGTATGCTAAAAAACTGCTTCTTAAGAAATCAAGGTTCACCTCACTGATACGGCTTTGCAGCGCCAACGCCAGAACCTTACGCCCTTGATTCCATAATACATGAGCTATCCTGTAGGACTGCAAGGAATGGTAACCCTGTAGCAGTTTGCAAGCAACATGAGTCTTGTTACCTTTTCCAGATATGAACGATATGATAGCATGAATTTGTAGTCACCTTTAGGTATAATAGGGCCCAGCTATATTGTGCACAGGAAGGATCTCTTCCTTTGAAGGCCTAAATTTAGACAAGGAGACCATTAATGCAACGATAGTGTGATACGGAACAAATTAACATGCACACACAGAACACGACACCTCAATAGGACAATGATGCACTCACCTGAGCATCAAGGCGAATGGAACGGCGTATATCTACGTCATTCATCATGACGTCATTGAAAATGTCGATTAGCTGAGTCGCAAGCAAGGTTGGATCTTCAAGCCTGTTTGCAAGGACAAAGCTCAACGCCCGCTCCAGACAGTCGTGAGATAATACGCTCGCATATAAGAAGCTACTTAAAATAGGCTCCTTCTCTGCCTGCGAAATGCGGATACTGCCGTCAGTCATCACGTAAAACTAACAGTAAACATGATGCAAAGTTTTGCAATAAGACAAGAAGAGTATAAGAGTCAATGACACTCGAAAGCATAGCTTCGCGACAATAAAGCTCGGATGTCGGACGTGAGTCAAAACGTTTTCGGTTCCTGCATCTTATTGGCATTGGCACTTCACACACCTTTACAAGACAGTCAGATTTCAGCATCATCAGATGTGAGTTGCCTGAAATGTTTTCCTTTTCCAGAGTTGACCTCTGAAGCAGTGACAACATAGAAACGCACTGAGGCTTCTAGCTCACACCGCAATCCGCATAGTTTGAATTGATTGCACTTTTGCCTCCATAAATTACTTTAGGTGAACTGAACTATCAACTAGTACTACTATTACACAATATCTAGTTCAGAAGAACAATAAGTCCAAGCACTTTTACCACATCAACTAACTATATTTAAACAATAAAATTATCAAGACCATATGTGTAATACACCACTATCGAACTGAACTTCAATCAGTCACTCAGACACAGAGCAGACATATATACGTGCAAGCAAATTCGAACGCTAGAGAAAGGTAGCTCAAGAGAGAAAGAGAATCCAGTTGCAGTTGTTCATTAAATTGGAACTCTAGAAATAGCTAATGACGCAGAAGAGGAGATAAAATTTAAGTCCAGTTGCGGTATTTTGATCATTAAATTCGAAGGCTAGAAAAAAAGCTAGAAGTGACTTGAAAGAAGAGAATCCAGCTGCTGGATTCTTTGCCGTCTGAAACCAAAATTCAGTCAACTGAACCTCAGCAAACACGAGAAAGGTCACGAGATCAGGAAACCACCGCCCAAAAAACGCAGCTTTTCCTCCTCACTCCAGCCCCAAATTCACCACAAAGGTGCAACCGGAGCAAAAATACAGCGATCGAATAAAAAAAACGGCGAAACGTATATAAGCGAATCTGCGATGGAGCGGCGGGATGCCATGGACGGCGCTCACCTCGGACCTGGCCTCGGCCTTGACGGCCTCCCATATGGGGTCCCCGGCGGCGGAGGGGTCGAGGAGCACGGCCCGCGCCCGCGAGCTCCCCATGACGTAGATGGGGAACATGGCCTCGGAGCGCGGGGCCCGGCCGCCGCCCCGCCGCTCCCCCGCCGCCTCGCCGCCGCCGCCGGCGTGGTCCTCCGACACCTTCTCGACCACGAGGCACTCGCACGACGACATGGATACGGACGGACGCGAGCGCCGGGGCTCCCGGCGGGAGACGTATCTAGGTTTTGGCCGCCGGCGCCGCGGCGGTCCGGCGCCGGAGCGGGGCGGGGAGGCGCGGGGGTGTGGGGCGAGCGGCAAAAGGAAGGAAGGAAAGGAGCGGTTGGGAGCAGAGGGGAGCGGCGAGGCGGGACCGGCAGCAAGGGACGGTGGTGGTGAGGGGCCGGGCGTGGGTGGCTGGGCGGTGTGGTGTGGCGCGGCGCGGCGGGGCGAGCGTTTGGAGGCTTGCGCTTTTGGTCGGGGTCCGTCCTCTCCTGGGAATTTTGCGGCGCGTGGGGGAGGAGAGGATGGGATCACGATCACGGGGCCCGCCCGCCCGGACCCGTGCCGGAACGGCGGCCACGACTGCTGTGTGGGACCGTGGATGCGCAACGCGCCGCACAACCAACGGTGGCCTTGTGCAACGCCCGCGGCGCCTCTCTCCTGCTCGGGCCTGCCCGTTGCATTGCAGCTCGGAGGCGTTTCATTCTATTTTCAAATCTTCAAACTTTCGATCTATTCATGAGTACAAATAACACCGGGAGTAAAAATTACATCCAGGTCGGCGACTACGAGTACAGCAAGGCGCGCCGTCGTCATTACCCCACCCTCATCAGAGCCGGGCAAACATTGTTGTAGTAGGCATCACGAGACCAGCACAACAGAACAACAACCGCCGATGATGAAGAGGATCGTAGATCGGAAGGATCCAACCTGCAGACACACTTATGTAGGTGAATGACGACCGGATCCAAGCGAGTCCACTGAAGATAAACTCCGACCGGATCTCACGAGACCCGCCGGAGACACACCTTTGCACGTCCTCCAACGACGCTAGTAGCACCGCCGGGAAAGGTACTAGGCGAGGAGAACCTTATTACATCTTAAGAAAATGAATCATACGAGACGAGGCGGATCAGCGCAAGTGCCGACGAGAGGTAGGCCTAGCTAAGAGCCTTGGTCACAGGAGGCGGGAGCGAAGGGGTCTTCACTCCGCCCCTTGTAAGTTGGTTTTCCCTCTTCAGCCTTCTTGGTTTGGAATAATCTAAACTAAATCGATACTTTTCTTCTTATCTTGATGAAAACCAAGCAATGCATTAACTCAATCAAATCTTATCAAAATAATATACTGCACCAACTCAATCAAATCTTACCAAAACAATATCTTGCGTCAACTCAATAAGATCAAATCAAATCTTACAAAAACTCAATTAAATCGAAACTTTCCTTGGAGCGAACTAGGCAACCCAATATAATGAGGACAAGAATATATAGTGAATGCAAGATCAAGAGACCAAATTAAACCACAAGTAGTGGCTAGGGTCAGAGATAACCGACGACACGAAGACAAGGATGTATCCCGATGTTCACTTCCTTGGAGGGGAGCTAGTCACCGTTAGAGAGGTGGATGTTACCACGAAGGTACACCAATGACACGAAGGCTCACCCTATTCTCCCTTTGATACAACACCACGAAGGCGTTTCTGAACCACTATTGGTAGACCTTGAGGCGGCCTCCAAACCTTCACAAACTTTCCAGGGGCAAATCACAAGTTGATTCCTCATCAGAGCACTCCTACTACCTAGGAGTCTCCAACCTCCAAGAGTAACAAGATCAAGGGGAAATGCTCAAGACTTGCTCAAATCATGAACTCCTTTGGTCACAAGAGGAGAGGGAGTGGATCTATCACTTGATTGAAAAATCTCTCAAGAACTCTTACGAATCTCTCCGGGATCTAAGATTTAGTGTAGGAGAAGTAAGAGGGGGCACTTAGGTGTTATGGGGTTCTTTTGGACGAAGTGGTCAACCCTCTATCGGATTAGTAAAGGGGTATATATAGCAAGCCTCGAAAACTAGCCGGTTTTTACTAAGTGGTTGTGACGGGCTGGACCTCTGGACGGCGGCCGGACATCCAACGGCTGTCAAGTGTGCACACAAACACAAAAAACATGGTCAATGCAGGGCCCAGACATCTGGCCAATCTTAGGCCCACGGATATCCGGCAAAGTGTCGGACATCCAACGAGCACAACGAGCATTTCAACATGGTTTTTGGACATAGACAGTCGGATTTCTGGGAGGATTCCGGACATCAGGGGTGTCCTAGTGATGGCTCCATATTTTACGCATCTTTAGAGATCATTTGTTGCACATTATCGCTATGTATCAAGTTATATCATGTCCCATTGGGTCAATTATATGTCCATATGCATGATTTCTAGTTTTTACTCTTTTCACCGCGAGCATTGCATAATATTTATTCTTTGTTAGTGTTTATTAGTTTTCTTTGTCGTTGTGTGTCATGTAGGTGATATGTACTTCCCCAGCACTTTGCACGATGAAAGGATTTCAAATGATGGACACCCAGGACCCTAGACTTAGCCATTTCGAAGGTGGAAAAAGTCAATTTTTAAAGTGCTCCAAATCAAGATCTAAAACTAGAAATGGATCAATGTCGTTCATACAAATCAATCGAGCCCAAGAACGTCAGATTCCAAGTTCGTATGAAGAAATGACGATTGTTTTACCAGAAGAGGTCAGGCCAAAAGATGATGTTTCATGCGACCGCTGCTGGTCGTTTGGGCACCCGTATGGAGTCCAGACAGCACCGAAAGTTGCCTCTCATGACGGGATTCTTTATGGATTTCATCCCCGTTTGTTCCCACGACTTCCCTAGCCTTCGAGGGGTGATTTGGGAGAGCATAGTGAAGGAAATATGCCCTAGAGGCAATAATAAAGTTATTATTTATTTCCTTATATCATGATAAATGTTTATTATTCATGCTAGAATTGTATTAACCGGAAACGTGATACATGTGTGAATACATAGACAAACAGAGTATCACTAGTATGCCTCTACTTGACTAGCTTATTGATCAAGGATGGTTATGTTTCCTAGCCATAGACAAAGAGTTGTCATTTGATTAACGGGATCACATCATTAGGAGAATGATGTGATTGACTTGACCCATTCCGTTAGCTTAGCACTTGATCATTTAGTATGTTGCTATTGCTTTCTTCATGACTTATACATGTTCCTATAACTATGAGATTATGCAACTCCCGTTTACCGGAGGAACACTTTGTGTGCTACCAAACGTCACGACGTAACTGGGTGATTATAAAGGTGCTCTACAGTTGTCTCCAAAGGTACTTGTTGGGTTGGCATATTTCGAGATTAGGATTTGTCACTCCGATTCTCGAAGAGGTATCTCTGGGCCCACTCGGTAATGCACATCACTATAAGCCTTGCAAGCATTGTAACTAATGAGTTAGTTGCGGGATGATGTATTACGTAACGAGTAAAGAGACTTGCCGGTAACGAGATTGAACTAGGTATTGAGATATCGACGATCGAATCTCGGGCAAGTAACATACCGATGACAAAGGGAACAACGTATGTTGTTATGCGGTTTGACCGATAAAGATCTTCGTAGAATATGTGGGAGCCAATATGAGCATCCAGGTTCCGCTATTGGTTATTGATCGGAGACATGTATCGGTTATGTCTACATAGTTCTCGAACCCGTAGGGTCCGCACGCTTAAAGTTCGATGACGGTTATATTATGAGTTTATGTGTTTTGATGTACCGAAGGTAGTTCGGAGTCCCGGATGTGATCACAGACATGACGAGGAGTCTCGAAATGGTCGAGACGTAAAGATCAATATATTGGATGACTATGTTTGGACACCAGAATGGTTCCGGGAGGTTTCGGGCATATACCAGAGTACTGGGGGTTACCG